GGGTATATTGGTCCATCTGTAAGTGGAGTATGGGGGTATATTGGTCCATCTGTAAGTGGAGTATAGGGTATATTGGTACATCTGTAAGTGGGGTATGGGGGTATATTGGTCCATCTGTAAGTGGAGTATAGGGTATATTGGTCCATCTGTAAGTGGAGTATAGGGTATATTGGTCCATCTGTAAGTGGAGTATTGGGTATATTGGTACATCTGTAAGTGGAGTATGGGGGTATATTGGTCCATCTGTAAGTGGAGTATGTGGTATATTGGTCCATCTGTAAGTGGAGTATGGGGTATGTTTGTCCATCTGTAAGTGGAGTAGGGGGTATATTGGTCCATCTGTAAGTGGAGTAGGGGGTATATTAGTATACACATCCTTTACTACCGTATTTTACCGCAAATAAGCCCCCCCTTCGCAAATAAGCCCCCTCCACACTTTGGTAAATGTCCTTGGAACAGGATGGGTGCCTGCAATTAAGCCCCCTCCCTAATTTTGTCTCCATCTAAAAAAAATGTATGAAAGTTGGTCGAGAGATTTAAGAACAATACGATAATTGCTGTTGATTACAGTGAGTTGAGGAATTAACATGTTTGAGGATGAGTTTGATTGTGATCTTTGCATATTTATGCATACTTAATTAGATTACACACCTGTGATTGTCTACTTGGTTTCCGTGCAATAAGTGCCGTAATAATTGTTATGTTATACACATACATATGACATGTATCGGCTGAGTTCCATTAGTGCATATTTAATAAGGATAAAACAGACTACCTAATACACACTAGCAAGTGGGAAATATGAATTTCACGAAGTTCACGAATTTGCTTGTTTAGATATTAAGATTTTCAGTTGCAATAAGTTTGTACCACAGATTATCATACAGTGGGGATATGACAGTGATGAAGCAGACTGTAAAATTCATTATAGATGGTTTTAATCACAACAGTTATTGTTTACGTCAGCTTTAGCTGACATAAAGCTTTTGATTACTTTTGCCTCCAGTCAGTCTGTCTTTTCTTCAACATACGTTGCAGGTTGAATGAGCTATGCTTAACACAGCAAATGCAAATCTAGTTGAACATGGCTTTTCTGTTGTGGAGTTTTTGTCTGCCATTTCCTTCCAAAACAAGTCTGTTCCAGAATGGGAGTTTGATATACATATTTGCAGATCCTCCAATGTGGTCAACCCACCCATCTAGTCTACCCGTTGATAGGATCTAGAATCTTACAAACATGTACATACTTTCAACTTCACACTAGAATTTGTTCATTTTCATAGGAAAACAGTGCTGGTACAATTTTTCTATGCATATTGAGTTTTCCTCTGACAAATAACTCCTGCTATCAAGAGGTTTGATTGTGTTACAGGATCTGGGGAGCCTTACCGTAAATGTTCCATGGCAGATCCCAAAAACTGAGATCGCTAAACGCAGAGATTTCCGGAGCATGTGTGTGTTTACTATTGACCCGTCCACAGCCAGGGACCTTGACGATGCCCTTTCTATAGAAGAACTTCCTGATGGTAAGATGACATGTTAGGATGGTTTTATTCTTAAATGTCCATGCCCAAAGGACCAACTGAGTGTATGCCATGGTGCAGTGTCCTTTATCTGTGGTCAGTGTTTGTTTCAAATGATTAACTCTAAAAATTCTACTCCTGAACTTTGGAGGAAGGAATGCTACCCAATTTGGCACGGGTCATCCTTGGTCAAAGGGAATCCAGTGGTTTATTGAGTATTGGTCCCTCCTTAGGTGGTCGGGGCCCAAACGGGTAGCTATAGGTATAAATTGAAAACATTTGAAAAAAACCTCTTGTAGAAGAGATATAGATATTCCCAAATGAGTAATGGTTGGCTATCCTGTTTATGGAACTTGATTTAGCTAATTTTCAAATTGTGTAAAGACACGAGGTTTACCGAGAGGACCCTGTTCTCCCATAACCTTTATATTGTATCTAGAAAACCCTGTTTCCCTTGGAAATGCATTATTTTTGTTATCCAATTGGAAAAACTGTGAATCATGAATCATGATGTCACAATTAAAGAAAATCCGTGTATACCTTCATCATCACATGTCATCTGCACTTTGATAGAATGGTATCCCTTCTGATTAACTAAGAACTAAGCTTGGTTCTCAGTTGGGGCCTGTATATGACATCATGCTATTTTATGAAAGTTTGATTTGTCAATAACTTTTAACGACTGTTCAAGCCACTGGGCCCAAAGTGTAACCCACTAGTGGGTAACATGAAATGTTTTAATTTAAGAGTGATGAAAGCTATAGTGGTTGTGGGCGAAATAGGGCATGGAGCATCCCTGGTCCAAGAGAGTCCAACCTGGTATGATACATGTAAGGGAAAACAAGGAGAATGAGTTAGTACTCCTTACTGTGGAAAGTGTATCTCCTCTTCAAACAACTTCTTCTGAACAACCAAAAGCCCAAGGGTGATGATATCTGGCAAGTAGCATGCCGAGATGAAGGGCTACTAAGTTTGTTTAAATGAATGAATAAATGAATGGAGAACATACTCGCAGAGACAATGTTGGCTACAGACAAAATGGTGAATTCAAATGTTGTTACCCCCGGGGGCCTGAGGGGCAGGGCTATTTGATTAAATTTCAACCGTCTTCTTCAGGCAAAGATATGCTGGCATCAAATACTCTACAAGTTGTTCAAATGAATGACCCTGAGACACTTTCAAGGTCAGTTGGTCAGAGGCCAAAACCTCATGTTATTGCTGCCAAAGAAGCATTTCAAATAAATTAAGAAAATTTGCTTTTTTGTATGGTAGGAACATTTGATGTTGGGGTTCACATTGCTGATGTCACCTACTTCCTGCATGAGGAGACACCCTTAGATGGTACAGCAGGAAAGAGGGCTACTAGTGTCTACCTGCCAAACAAGGTAAGGAATGCCTCTAAATTAAACTACAGCAGGAAAAAGGGCTACTAGTGTCTACCTGCCAAACAAGGTAAGGGATGCCTCTAAATTAAACTACAGCAGGAAAGAGGGCTACTAGTGTCTACCTGCCGAACAAGGTAAGGGATGCCCCTAAATTAAACTACAGCAGGAAAGAGGGCTACTGGTGTCGCCAAACAAGGTAAGGGATGCCTCTAAATTTAACTACAGCAGGAAAGAGGGCTACTAGCGTCTACCTGCCAAACACGTTTGGTAAGGGATGCCGCTAAAACACAGCAGGAAGGAGGGCTACTAGCGTCTACCTGCCAAACACGTTTGGTAAGGGATGCCTCTAAAACACAGCAGGAAAGAGGGCTACTAGCGTCTACTTGCCAAACAAGGTGATGGACACCAGTAGACATTATAACAGGATGGGGGTTAGTTGTGTAGATGGCATATCAAGCTACTACTGAGGCTTGTATGGTCTATATGGTGTTGAGTGTTAGTATTTGTTGACAGGTCATTCCAATGCTGCCACGTGTTCTCTGTGAAGATCTCTGCAGTCTGAATCCTGATCAGGATCGTTTGGCCTTCTCCGTTGTCTGGAATATATCTGCCGAAGGACAGGTAAATTTGTCAGCTTACCTGGCTGAATGCCAAGAGAGATAAAACTGTGGACAGTGTCTATCTATCTATCAATATAGTCCAAAAATGCTGGTTAGTTCTTGACTAAAGATGACATTGGAAATGTGCCAAAACTTGTACAAATTGAACATTGTGTACTAATTTGAAAGTCTGAAACATATTTTTACACCTGGACTCAAGTTACAGTAAGCTTTCTTGGTGACTTACCCTTGCTTATTGTTACAGATCTCTAAGGAATGGTTTGGGAAATCTGTGATCCGGTCATGTGTGAAGCTAAGCTACCAACATGCTCAGGTAAGTGTTTTATTATTGAGTTAAGATCATCCTCAGGTTATTAGTGTCTTATTGCTGGTTAAGGTCATGTTCAGGTAAGTGTTTTGTTATTGAGCTAAGTAATGTTCAGGTAAATTTTTGTTATTGAGCTAAGATCATGCTCATGTTGTTATTGCGCTATGATCATGCTCGGGTAAGTGTTTCTGAATCCTCAATGGGAAATCACAATGAGAATGCTCAAGGGTAAATCACAATAGGAAATTGTGATAGGAAATATCAACAGGAAATTTCAGTGGAAAATTATGATATGAGAAATCACAATGAGAATTATCAGAGAGAAATTTCAATAGGAAATGTAAAAATGATGAGGATATAGCTCAATACTTAGTAAAGCCAGGTGAGAAAGGCCCTATGAAGGTGTTTGATTACTGTACATATAAGGATACATGAAGCTGTTATATTACCATACATATTTAGAAAATCTGTCATAAGTTTTCCGTAATATTAGATTTATTACACACCTTACATAAACTTAATTTATGTGATGGCTTTATGACACTGCATAACACGGTATTCATATGATAAAAGGAGACATGAAAGTGTTCTATTCTTATTACAGGGGTTTATAGATGATCCACATAAGAACTGGACTGCCGAAGAACTTCCTCCAATATCTTCCCCTTTTAGTGTGGCTCAGATAAAGGAAAAGGTCTTGGACTTAAACAAGGTGATTACAACAGATGTAGATAAAAAGAAGTTCTGAACTTCAACCTGGTAAACGAACTAAATGTTGAATATAAGTTAAAAGGAGTCACGCTCTTCAACAAATTAAATACATATAACATTTACCATGTACAAACCTCCAAAAGCCCTCATTCCAGGGCCCGTTTTCATGAAACCTTTCTCATGCTCAAGCATGGATTCTGTGCTCAAGGAAGCTTTCTTGTAACTCACCAGAATCATGTCAATGATCAAAAGTTAAATTTAAATATTGAAAACAGTATTTGGCTATAAGTCTCTTCAATTTTTGCCCAAAACTTAAACATTTTTTTTTTTTGAAATAATTTATAACTGGAACAAGAAATTAGACTTGAGCACAAAATCCATGCTTGAGCATGAGAACGGTTTCATGAATACGGGCCCAGGACTGAGTTTGAGACAAGAATAACCCTGCTGTTACCCATTGCATGGTGTAAGGGGCAACTGTTGTGGGGACCTCCTGCAGAATTGGGGATTGTGTGCCCATCTTAATGGGAACACCACAGCGAACCATGGTCTATCTAGTGCAACATCTGGAATCCATTCAGTTTAAACAATATTTTATTTACAAATATGCAGTACATAATATAATTTTTTACATAATGTGATGTCAGGGATCTGGCAACAAGAGTTGGCTCTTATATTAAGCCATCTCCCAACAATGAGAAGATTGCAGTATAACACAGGCAGGTTAAATAACATCAATAATTATATAAATTCAACTGATATAGCTAATTTAACAACCAAGGCCGACCATTTGAAATAATAGGTAATATGATTAGCAGCACTTAGAGAATAATGTTAATAAATTTACTTTAGAGCATAGATACTAGAGTGGTGGGTAAAAGTTGGAAAGGTGGGNGGGGGATTTAATTTGTTGATGAAGTGAAATGAAATGGAAACCCATGCATTCACCCAAATCTACCTGTTCCAATTATATACCTATGCACTTGATTAAAAATTTCTGTATTATCATTGCAAGACAAGTTTGGATCACCATGTAATAATATATAACTTCCTGATGTCCACGATTACCCCTAACTTTGCTATGGTTTCGGCCCGAATTGTGTTATAGTTCCTACATTCAATGAGAAAGTGAGAAGTGGTTTCAATGCAACCACAGGAACACAGGCTGGTTTCTGAAACATGATTATTATATAAATGATGGTTTAATGAGCTGCATTCATTTCGAAGCCTTGTATGAAGTACCTGGGCACGCCGTTTGCCTAAGTAATAGTAATCGGGTATCTTAGACTTATTCCTATTAAGGTAACGGAAAAAGGAGATTTAATTGGGTTATTTCTAACATGTTCAGGTATCAAATTCCATTCACGGATGGCTGTAGGAGAGAAAGAAGACATAAAGATATTGGTTCTGCTATTTGGAGGTTGCATATTCAAATATGATCTTAAATTGTAACCTTGAGTGGAGCTGGTAAATGGGGGTAGGTGATTTTTCGTAAATAAGGGGGAGCAAGTCCATGGACTAGATTGTACATAGCTTGCATCCTATGTTTATATCTCCTGTAGGACAATGATTCCCATTGGGTTTCATTAACAAGGGAAGACGCTGACTTGGTTGCACCTGTCACAGTACGAGCTGCTTCAGTTTGTATCTTTTTAGGTCACCTGAGACAAAGTCTCAAGTGACCTGTTGCGATCGCCTTTTGTCCGTCATGCGTCCGTAAACAATTTACATTTTCAGCTTCTTCTCCAAAACCCCTGAACCAATTTCAATGAAATTTTGCAGAACCCTTCCATGGCCAAAGGTCAAAAAAATTAGTGGAAGGTTTGGTACCCAGCCCCCGGGGGCCTGACGGGCGGGGCTAAAAAGTGTCAAATTGACTAAAATTTCAAAAATCTTCTTCTCAAGACCCAGATATGGTAGAATCAAATACTCTTCATAGATGGAAGGGTCTTAAGGTGCTTTACCAAAATTGTGAATTTCATGATCCTGGGGTCTCACGTTTACCCCTGGGGAAGGGGGTAAACTTTACTTTAGTTTATATAGGGAAATCACATTTTGGACCAAGATTCGGTTTAAGTTCCATTGGAAGTAATTCAATTTGGGTTAGCATTATCAGTATTAGATAGCAGTTTGATGGTATGCATATATGAGCCCTGACTGACCCCCCGCGGCTGATGGGTGGGTCCAAAAAGGGTTTAATTGACTGAAATTTCTAAAATCTTCTTTTCCAAGGGGGGGGGGGGGCGTGTTATTATGGTTTATAATGGCAACTGATACTTTGAATATTACATTTTAATAACTTGATTCGAATTATAACCCTGAGATGACAGTTTGATACTATGAACATTTTGAGCCAGCCCTACCCCCACGGGCTGTAGGGTGGGGCCCAAAGGAGTCAGTGTGCTAACATTTCTTAATTTTCCTTGTTTATAATCAGAGGTGCTAGTTTCAAATACTTTTTAGTCTTAAATCTGTATTCTAGATATTGAATAAGGTGGTTTTATTGTTTTTTGTCACTTTGAATAATATTTCTGTTCGTGTTAAAAACAAAATCAACTCTCTGTATAAATATATCAGGTGACCGTTAAGGCCCATGGGCCTCTTGTCTAGATCAAGAATCTGCTGTTGGTTGCAGTTACCCCAGACAATATCCGCATATTCTAGGATAGGCCTAATATAAGAAAAGAACATAGTTTCTAAAGATCTCAGATCTAGTTGGAATTTCAGTGATCTCAATATATCAATTCTCTTCCATGCTTTCCCAAGTATGTTGTCAATATGTAAATGCCAAGAGCAGCTCTCTTCAATGGTTATCCCATGTGACTACTGACTTGTACTATTTGTGTATTATTCCTTATTAATGGAGGATGATCGACTTTGACACGTTGCCTAGATAGAATCATACTTTTAGTTTTATTTGGGTTAAAGTTTACCAACCATTGCTGTGCCCAGGTACTTAAAGTAGTCAAGTCGGAATTTAGTAACTTTGCTGAGCGAGTCGGATTTTCAACTATGATGTAAAGTGAAGTATATCGTCTGCAAATAAACGAATACTAGCATTTATACTATTAACAATGTCATTAATATAAATAATAAACAGAAGAGGCCCTAGTATTGAGCCTTGTGTAACACCTGCCTGTAGCTTCCCTTTATCCGATGAATTCCCTTCAACAATTACTTTTTGACTGCGTCCATCGAGATAGCTCACAAACCAAGATAATAATGTACCAGAAATACCATTTTGCTTAAGTTTGTGTATTAAACCCCTGTGCCACACTCTATCAAAGGCTTTACTAATGTCGCAAAACACCACCCGAACCTCCTTGCCACTATCAACCGCTTGGAAAAAGGTACTTACAATATCAGTTTATTGAAATATAGAAGAATTTTTTGAAACCAGATTGAAAGGGTGTAATGCAGCCATTTTCCCTCAGAAAGTTATAAATATATTTAAAGATACATTTTTCAATTACTTTGCTATACAACTTAAAAGAGAAATTGGTCTATAATTTGTTACTAGAGATTTCTCTCCCTTCTTATAAACTGGAATTACATTTGCAGTTTTCCAAACTTCAGGGAACTCATGAAGAGATAGAGATGAATTAAACAAGTTTGATAATGATATAGCCGGTTCTGCGCTAGCCTCTTTTAGCAGTCTAGGATTTACTAAGTCAGGGCCACAGGCTTTATTGGCATTGATAAGTTTCAGGGCATATCCAACACATCAGTAGGTGAAATATGTATATTATCTAGCAAAGTTTCCGGTAATTGATTTGGAGGAAGTGTCATATGTTGATCATTGATAGTCGCTTGATCACAGAAGAAACTATTGAAGGCTTCCGTCTTTTCCCTGGCAGTAAAAAGCTTGGTGTTGTTATGACAGATTGGAGGATATTGACAGTCAGAAGTTTGTTTGAAGAATTGCTTTGCAATTCGCTGTCAATCCTGGGGGCTTAAGTTTCTATTATTGTTAAGTTCATCTCCAAGTTTGGTCATGTATGAGATCTTAGCTTTTTCTAATGAGCAACGTTTCTTTGTTACTCTTGTACCTGAATTCAGCCCAATCTATTTATTATCCCTCTATAAACACAGTCTATAGTCCTTGGTTCATTTTTGATGCCAAAGTTTGTCCTGATGTGAGGACTTTGCATATATCTACAAACATAGAAATAACTTTAGGGTAGCCATTCATAGAACTAGTTTGATTTGTTAACAGGTAGCAGTAAATCTGAGAAAGAAACGGAAGGAAGATGGAGCTCTCAACTTAAACCAGGTGAAATTGTCCTTTAACTTAGACGACAAAACAGGCATGCCTAATGGCTATCATACACACGAGCAACTGGACAGTAACAGGTGAGTGTCACACTTTGTCACCTTTGTATCTCAGAACTCAATCCTCCATCATCATCATCAAATAGAGCTCCTTCATCACCTGTATAAAGTCACAAAGGTATTAACGGTAGTTTGTGGGTTACACTAATAGTTTCTGTCGTTTGTACAGGCTTGTGGAGGAATTTATGTTACTGGCTAACATGGCTGTTGCTCATAAGATCAACAGATGTCTGCCAGAACAGGCAATGCTGCGGCGTCACCCTGAACCTAACTCAAGTATGGCTCTTGAATTGGTATGTTTATGTAAACAATTCTGCTTGCTGAAATAGTTCGACAATGTTGTTAATTAGCTGACCTGGTCAAACAGGTATAGATTTCAAATTATATTTCTTGCCATGTGTTCAGTCTCTGAACAATCACATTCAATCTTATAGTATGCTAATACAGGATCTCAAAGATGTTCAATGTTCAATATTCAAGAAACAAAGTCTCAATGTTTCAAATTTTTGTTAGCGGTCTGAACAAAATTCGAAACATCAAAATTTGATTATAATCTAATGAATTTGTTAAGATTTATGAATTCTTAAAATTTGAAGCTCCACACATATTCTTGCCTATTTGTGAAAAACAGTGATTTTCTGGCAATAACAAGCATAGATCTGTGCCTTTATAATCCCACGTTGTTTTACCTGTAGGAAAAGCAAAGCCAAATCCTGGGGGTACCACTGGACTTCACAAATTCAGGATCACTACAGGTATGTTATCTGGTGTAGGGACTGATATGTCATCAGATTCCTCCTTAGGTGTGTAACAACCCATCGTCAGAACAGTTTGTGAATTCAGTAAGTATAAGTAACTGCTGACATTAAAGAGGGTGGTCGGGTGGCGCAGTGGATAGCACACTTACCTGTCACCAAGGCGTCCAGGGTTCAATTCCCCAATCGGATTTGAAAAGGTATGGGGTCACCTGCCTGACCACATTGGTTTTCCCCGGGTACTCCGGTTTCCTCCCACATTAAGACCCCATGCACGCTAAAATCCGGGCTAACAAGAGTGATTAGTATAAGTTGAAATAACTTGTTTTATAATTGTTGTAAAATAAAAAAAGTTTATATTTAAGAGACCTTTGTGTGTTGTTTTTATAGAAAAGCCTGGATGATATCTGTAGAGAAGACTTGCATTCAAGAGGAAAGTTACAGGTGCTATTAGCGATGTGCTCCAAACCAATGCAGGTTAGTACCTCCTTATCAAAGATCCTCAGCCAGTGGTGTATAGTCAGGATTTATATATACAGGATATCTATAGTTGTGGAATTGCACAATGTCACAAGATGTGCCGTGTGTGAACGATTTGTACACCATGTATGACCAATAAAATACAGGGTGATGAAAGTTTGTGCACATCTGTGTGCACGTAGAACGAACAGAGTGTGATGGCAGTTGATAGAAATAAAAAAACCCATTAAATATGATTTCGTTACAGAACTTATATAACCTTGGTTTTATCATGTGTTACCATATATATTAGCTAGATCTGTAGGTTTATATATTTTTATGTATAACTTCCAAAATTTGGTTTTCATATTTATTCATAAAGGACATACATTGACATGTGTAACTACACACACGGCAAGGGCCCACACAAATACACTGAAACCTATAGTAGTTATGGGAGTGATGAAACCTATAGTAGTTATGGGAGTGATGAAACCTATAGTAGTTATGGGAGTGATGAAACCTATAGCAGTTATGGGAGTGATGTAACCTATAGTAGTTATGGGAGTGATGTAACCTGTAGTAGTTATGGGAGTGATGAAACCTATAGAAGTTATGGGAGTGATGAAACCTATAGTATTTATGGGAGTAATGAAACCTATAGCAGTTATGGGAGTGATTAAACCTATAGTAGTTATGGGAGTGATGAAACCTATAGTAGTTATGGGAGTGATGAAACCTATAGAAGTTATGGGAGTGATGAAACCTATAGTATTTATGGGAGTGATGAAACCTATAGCAGTTATGGGAGTGATTAAACCTATAGTAGTTATGGGAGTGATGAAACCTATAGTATTTATGGGAGTGATGAAACCTATAGTAGTTATGGGAGTGATGAAACCTATAGTAGATAGTGAAGTGATAAAATCTATAAATCAAGGTATGGAATGAAAAAAAACAAAAACTTTATTATAGTGTTGAAATATTTAACAGGTATTGGGTTGATGAAACTTAAAACAGGTTGTGTTGGTATCAAATGTTTCTCTTAATTTTAACTGGATATCAAATTATCTCAGATTTTTAGTCACCCTTGGGGGAACCCCAGTGGGGACTATTAATTTTGGTTTCAGTCCCAGATTTTGACCTCTGTTTATTGGGCTGTTGTTAAGTGTCTTGCTTCTGTCGGAATATACCAGGCGCTAATTACAAGCTCTTGGATAACTCAGATATCGATTTCCTTTTTAAAAAGGAATAGCATGAAACCTAAAGTCGTTCCAAATTTCCCACGGGAATTACATATAAACTAAAGATGTTCCGAGTATGAATCAGTCACCTTTGAGGTTACCGAAGGAGTAAACTGTCGTATTATAAATTGCTATTGACTGATTTAGATATTTTGTGTCTGACCAACGACTACCGTTAATATTTGCGTATAGTGCACACTTTTTTAAGGGGAAAATGAAGTGTCAAGAAAGGGGTGTACACGATACTCAAGAACAATCCAAATCCAGTCCTTGGTCGCGACCATTTCTCGTAAACTTTTCTAGGATTTTCGGAAATGTTTTGAAATATGCTTGCAGCAATAAAACTGCTAAATTTCGTTGAATAATCCCTGACTGCATTGCCAATTTAACAATTACGAAAAGTTGCAAGTTAAAGTCATATAATACTATAGAATCGGATAAATAAACTCAAGTAAAGTAAGCTCAACTTTTCAGGACGTTACCTTGTGAATTGATTAATACTGTACCACGTATCGGGGAAACATAACGAAGAATTGCATCGCATTTATCACTCTGTGGTTAAAATGTCGTTCTTGGGTAAAATCATCCTGAACTCTTCAATCTTGACCGTAGGAATGTGTCAAAACGACATGGGTAAAGTGGCGAAGTTAGCAAGTTTGTGTACCGCAAAGAGTCAAGTTGGCGAGGTACTATTAACCGGCAGGAGTTTACAAGGTTGACATCCATGCAAATTGAACCGATAATGATAAAAGTTTGAGTTTGAAATTTAAATATCAACGGGTTCAAAACAGCCAAAAACATTCCGATCTTTTCTTTTCGAAGGAGAATTGCTGAAATCACAACTGTTTGGTGTTCTTCATGTCTCGCGAATTCCGCTGTTGGCGGTCCTCGTCGGAATGACTGCCTTTCAGCATACACATTCTGCCGATATCGATGACCGATTCAGTCGGATTTGCAGACGATCAGAAAACTACTTGGAAAAGTGTATTTCATAACAAAAAATAGTAGAAGATTTATCTGTATATAAGATTGAATCTTTTCTGAAACTTATTGTTGTGAAAACAACATCGTTATATTCCAATTAACGTTACCTGTTCTGCCCATGCCAGGTGACAGTGTCAGCGCGCAGATCTCCCCGTATTCGAGGTGTCAGTCAATGCTAATATTATATTTGCGACATACTTTCTTACTTAAGTTCATGTGTTGGCATGGCTACCTGAACAGCATGTATGTATTTACACCTGGTAATTGTTTACCATTTTGATTGACAGGTGGAAATATATCCGTTACTTGTAGCTTGGTCAATGATTTATCGGAAAATGATCACACAGAATGATGGGGTGACTTTCATGTCATTCTGACATATTTCTGGTTTTTATTTTAGAAATGGCTGTATACCTTTCCTTACATGTTACTATTTTCTGGTTTTAGATGGCTTTATACCTTTCCTTACATGTTACTATTTTCTGGTTTTAGATGGCTGTATACCTTTCCTTACATGTTACTATTTTCTGGTTTTAGATGGCTGTATACCTTTCCTTACATGTTACTATTTTCTGGTTTTAGATGGCTGTATACCCTTCCTTACATGACGCTATTTTCTGGTTTTAGATGGCTGTATACCTTTCCTTACATGTTACTATTTTCTGGTTTTAGATGGCTGTATAC